TGAACATTGCTCCATTCATGAACTCTAACTGTGGACAAGTCATTTTCATAATTGGTAGTTCTGCATGTTTATCTGAATAATAAAAATATCTCACTTCAAGAGAACATTTTTCCACTAGCACAAAACCTCCAAATGAGTTTGAAGAAAAGCTTATGAAACTAATAAATGTTACGTCTGTGACCCGGGCCGCCCCATGTACCTCGGTAGCCGGCACAGGTAGCAGCTCCGCCCCCGCACAGGTGAGGGTGCATCCCAGGCGACGAGGCACACTTGCTCTCCATTATCAGAGCAGTATATAGGGTCAGCGTTGGTGCATCCTTGTCGCCAGATTATTATGTATTATCCTGATGGTAACTATGTTTCATGTTCATGTCAAAGTTTATGGACCGTTGTTTGATCTACGCTCCTTTCGCAACATTGTAAACTGTTATTGCTCATTGTTCTGTGGTATCGGTTTTCTTGCCCTTCTCACGTTTAAAGGGGTTTTTGGTTTTTGGACTGCTTTTTGTGAATTGCTCCACCTCTCAGAGCTCCAAGGCTATCCTGGAACAGCGCCACCATCCTACGTCGCACCGCTCAGCTACCAGCACTGCCTCATCAGGGGACCCACACACCGAACCTGAGATCTCTGGCACCAGTCTCCTCCTCCCTGGATTACTCCCTGGGCCTGCGGCACCGGCTCTGTTTTGTTTGTCTTCGTGGAGCATTAAACACGTTTTTCTTGTCTAGCCTGGGTTCGACTCTGCATAATTACTGGGTCCTAAACAACTCACACACAGCTAAACGTAACAATAAATGAATACCTAAGGCAACCACATTCATATATTCAATGATGAAATCTGTCGATGGAGGCCAGCAATTTAATGTTAGAATCCATTTGTCATAACTTGTTTCCTTGGGCCAAAAGCACAAAACTCAACTCAACTCAGGAGCCTTTCATAAGTGAAGCCTTTTAATGAACTACCCTACCAGAGTGTGCTGTAACTACTACCATGCAAAACCATGTCAGAGGAAATGAAGGACCCTCGCTCGTAAAAAAGTTAGCTTACGAGTATGGGAATTTTTTGGGTTTCGTAAAAACAGTGCAGATCAACAGTTAGACAACAATACCACCAACCTGTTCACCCACCTTCGCTTCCATCATCCTACAGATTTTGCTACAATAGAGCAACGGCTAGTTATTAGCTTCAACAAGGGGGAGGGTTGTCGAAGTTTGATGGCATTTCTTCTTCGAATAATTGTCAAATAGCTCCCAGGAAATATCCAATAGCATTTTTAGCTTGAAATGCATATTCTTAATCATGATACTATTCCTATTATGAATTTTTTGGCCACAATAATCATGTAATGAAAATCTGATATTGTGACAGCCCTGATGAGAACAAACTGCAAATTATGAGCAGTGGCAATCCCTATACAGCATGAGCCACTTAAAACAGTAAAGTCCCTGCCAGAACTCCACTTTGGCGAGGTTTACACATATCTTGTGGGGAATCCCTCCCCTTACACTGTTGCCCAGATGAACACCTAGAAAAGCAGAGACAGTTATATTTGTTTTCAATGTGGATGGATAGATGTTTTGTTTGAACACATGCCTCCCCTTTCACGACTCTTTCCTCATTACTGTTTCCCCTCTCTTATTCTTCCTGTCATTTACTGACAACCGGCCACCTGGCAAAGCTTCAAGGGGAAGCTTTATTAAAAAATAAAAAAGTGTTTACTCAAATGTTTTTTAAGTATAAGAGTGTCCAAGTGTGTATGCGTGTGGGGCATGCATTAGTGAGAGACTGGGGGAGGAGTGCAAGAGGGTATCTCTCAGAAGTCAGCGCTGCGTGCAGTGTTTACCCACCACATTTTGAGCTGTGCCGACCAGAAGGCCCCACTGGGGCCATTGGACCAGCTGGTGTAATACTGGCATAGACGCAGCCCTAAATACACTCACTCACACACACACACACACACACAATAAACTCACTCATTCTCTTATCACCACACATACATCATCTTATGACAGCCCCACCATTTCACTCCCTTCCTCCACCTTACGCCTCATCAAACATATTATAATTAGCCGTGCTAAGTAATTAACATCCAAATTAGGACATTCATTTGCATTTCTGCCATCATTTGCATATACTTCCAGCACACACACCTGACATTCCTCCACACACAGATACATGCCAGTACAAAACTCAAGGGTAGTTTGTCTTTTTCAGTACAATGTCCTGTCACCACAGCTCATGCACACACATTTTTACACACAACAAACACTTTCCTTCTCCTTTGCATGCTATTAGAAATCAAAACCTGATGACAGTAAAGGAGAGAGAAGTGTGGGGGTGGAGAGGTGAAGGAAACCTACAGCAGAGATAAACAACAAAAAATCTGGACAGGCTGAAGCAAATGGAGGGAATATAAATGGGACTGAGGAGGGAGTTCAGCGGAGTGAGAATGCGACACTGTCCAGATGAAAAAAGGCAATGCAAGATCAAAAGAAAACTGCCTCATCATTGACACATCTCACTTAATCCCATAACAGTTCAGAATTGAATCCATGTCTGTGGAGAGAAAGAGCGGAAGCTCTGGATGTCAGAATAAAGTCTGTTCAAGCTTGGGGGAAAAAAAAAGCGAAGGCGAATGACGAAACTCTGTTCAAGCTTGGGGAAAAAAAAGCGAAGGCGAATGACGAAACACTTCTTTCTCTGTGACATTTGCCCTCTGAATAGCATCAGCTCAGTGGAGCGGAGCAGCAAAAAGTGATGCAGATACAAAGAAAGAAAGGGGGCAAGAAGGGGAAAACAACACGAGTGAGAAAGCAGAGGTAAGAAAGAAGACGGGAAGGGCATGAATGACAGTAAAGAGGAAAAACGCGACAGGATGGGCAGAGCAGTTCCCGCCAGACATTGTTTCACCAGTCACTGCACAGAAGAGGAAAACCTGAGTTATGCTTCTGCGTTCCACATCGCTTTCACGATTTATGTTCCAACAAAGATAATGCAGCTAGACAGCTCTGTTGAAAAGACACCCATAAATCTGATCTTATTTTCAGTCTTTTCCCCTCTCTCTCTTTCTCTTTCTCTTTCAGTGCCCCTCAAATCCTCTCAGCCTGTGTTCTTTAGCATTCATCTGCTCTGGTCTACTGTATTTCCCGACTTTTTATGTAAAGGTGTGCAGCATCAAGCCTCTGTCTCATGTACTGTATATACTGTATTCTGCTGAGCAGAGCTTGTACTTACAAAACTGACACACAAACCAAAGCTCACTCAGTCTCTCTCGCATACAACAAGTAAATATCCACCCAGACCTTGATCTGTACCTTGTCAAATATTACGATAAATGGCTTTACTTAACAATACCAATTCTTATCAAGTTTTTGGAAATTTCATTGACTTTTTTTTTTAACTGAGTTGTGGCTGATTCAACCATTTCATGAAATGATTAGTAACATGACATTTACATGGTATATGGCAGTCAACGCAAAGATGAGTTCACATAACACATTCACCTTGAAAACTGAATGAGTCATTGATGTTTCTACAGAAAAGAGGCTCTTGTCTAAACTTAATCGAAACCTGGTTAGCCGTCCTTCTGACTCCCAGCCATATGGAGGTCTTTCATAAACAAGGAAAATAATGATATTGTTTGGTTGAGCACAGACACCCAGTTAGCTCAGCACTCTCACTCCAGAGACCCAATTAATACCACTATAAACCGTTGCTGCCCTTCATAGGCAACATCAAGCATGTATGTGCGTGTGTTGTGCGTGAGAGAGAGAAAGAGAGATGTAAGGATATCAGAGGGTGAGGTCATGATTGAACACAATGCCTTGACTCCAGCTGCCCTCAAGCACCAATCGATTGTCATAGACAGAAATCGTTCAGATCACTGGTCAATCATTACCCTCAATCAATGTGGTGTTAATCATTTTGAAATCAAATGGAGCATCTATAACTGCTGGGGCCTCTAAGACACAATAATGCAGTATGTGGAGAAGAGCTTTCCAGGGACCTGTAAGACATAAATACCTAGCTAATGTGAATTCCTACAGTATTTTAAGTAAGTGACACTGCTATGACTTGAATCATCAGAGCTGAAGTGATTAGTCAATTAACTAAACATTCTGAAAACAGACAAACCTATTAATCATTTAAGTTGTTTTTCAAGCTAAATAACAAAACATGTCTTAGTTTTAGTTACTTGTTTGTTGTGATTTTCGTTTTTTTTATTGTTTTATGTAATATAGGCCACACCATCAGTCGACCGCCCCCTGGTGGCTGGTTGTAGTATGACCCCCCACCCTATGATAGCAGATGGGCCATGAAAAAAACTAAAATACAAATCAATAAACTTTTCCTCAAAGATGATTTCTGTCATTTTAGGTAGCTATTATCACACTGAGTTGTGTACTAATGGTCACTGTTCTGATAAATTTGTTTTAATAAGTTAGTTAAAAATATAAAAAGGTGAATATTTAGGTTATTTGACAGTTTTGATTAGCAGCCTAATACCGCGGCTCCACCTCCAATTGCTTTTGCCCTTGCAAAATGCCTCCCAAAAAATGGCCGCCCCTGTATTCATAATATTTTGGTTTCAGTTTTGCATAGTAGTAGGAAGTAGTGAGTTGTCAGCCATTTCTGTACATAGTCTATGGTAGGACATCACATGAAAATGTCACTGTCATTTTCTGTCATTCTATACCTTAAAGAAAACAATTAATTTATAAATTAATTTTTTTTAAACGTTTACATTTGTTGTTATTTACCCGGCTTTTTATCACAGTAACAAAGACTACTAGAGCAAGTTGTAACTTCCTAAGAGACTGAACATCTGTCTCGTTAAGACAAAACCTAAAACTGAATCTTCGTCACAACTTAACTTAAATAACTAAGAAGTTGCTATATGGACAGCTGACGCTCTCCTTGCAACTCAAACAGGAAAAAGCAGACAAACATTGTGAAGCCAAGTTCATCTGTTGTCCCTTTTCTTTTTCTTGTTCCTACCTTTTCCGCCGAGAGCGCAGGAGTGGCCCCAGATAAGCCAAAACAGGAAAAAAGGGACTCCGAGTATCTGCATGGCTGTCGAGCTGTGTTAATGATGCTTCCCCGTCCTCTCCCCTCCTCAAATCCTGGAGCACATCCAAAGCGCGAGGATGTTCTCTCCTGACCGTGCGCGCGTGAGGTAGTCGGTAGGTCGAGAGACACTCACCAACCACTGTAAGCAAAGAGAGAGAGATGCTGACGTTTAAGCGGCGTCAATAGAACAACATTTCCGGCTGTAAGTTGTGAAAATAAAACATACTTGAATGTTTATATTGAATAATGTGAACTTAAGGGACCAAAATAAGGCTGCATTTATGCAGGGTAAAATTTTAGTTATTTAAAAAAACGTGTTTTTACACTAATTATTATAGGTGCTTTGAAACAAGTTTTCCCCAAAGATGAGAAATTGTATACTTTTATGTTGAAAAATTAAAGCGCCTTAAAATATGGCTTTATTTGGCAAGCTTGACATAAAAAGAGAGACGGAACAAGTGATGAAGAGTGGGGATGCGGGAGGGGTTCTGTCTAAGATGAGTGTGAGTGTGTTGATTGTTTGGTGCCATAAGAGAAGATAAGACTGATTCTGACAACCCAGGAAATGGCTGCTGCAGAAGAGAATTTGCTGCTACTAGTGATTACATTCCTCTGCAAGAATACAGCTACAGTACTATCCAATAAATTCAGTAAATCTCAAGCTATGGAAAAGTAGGGCACATCCCTCTACCAAAATGTCTCAGTGTCTTACTGACAGAGAGCTATGGGATCTTAGAATTCTATTTGACGTTTTTCAACACATGAAACTTCTAAACGAGCATTTGACAGTCTTTGTTGGTTTATGACCTTTTAAGACAAAACAGTGTCTATTGCAGTCTGCTATTTGAAACCAGCTGAACTAAAAAAAAAAAAGAGTTTTATTTTTACAAGGAGAAGTAAATTTGTGTATGTATAGCAGAGATTTTTTTTTTTTTTTTTTTTGTCTTTTTTACTATACTATTAATTATCCTGGACCCCTTCGATTTATCGTGTGACCCCTGGTCCCTGACTTATAGGGACATTATTCTAAATTATCTTCAAACTTCAGTCTTTGCTTTACATTAGTGAGCCTTTACATGGTCATATCATAAAAATAAAAAGTATGCTACAAGTTAAGATTTGATCTTAGATCAGGGGTTACAAATTGTTGATGTCCAACTGCTGCAGGTATAATCAGCAAACCATGTGCATCCTTGCATGAAGCAGAGTTATTTAGCTGTTATTCTCAATTAATTGTCAATGTAAGTTAGGCTACATTTGGGAAATGTAAAAGTTTAATTAAGAAATAAAATGAGCTGTAGATATTTGAATGTTCTTACAATTATTTCCGTTCTTAATCAAATGAAACAGCTGCTATGCTGTAATGTTTTTCCAACTGTATCCTCCTAAGAAGAGCCTTCATGTAGCATAGCTACAGTATACTCCCCCTCACAGATTTAAGTGGTTCAGTTTTTACCCTGTGGCAGAATCACTGCTTTGCTCTAACGGCCATATGTTCTTCAATTATTGCCCAATTCCTCTTCTTCTTATGGGTGTAGGTGTGTGTTGTGGGGATTAGAGAGAGGGAGCAGACCTCAAGTGAGTTAAGAGGATAACAAAGACAGAACACACACACACAGACACAAATGCAGACAAACACATGAAAGACCACATTTGCATGCACACACAGTTGCTTATACACATGCATATTCCCAACTGACTGTTTCCATGGGTTGTGGCAGGTAACAGCAGAGCAGCCACAGGGAACGATGATGTAATGAACACCCTTTGTTTGTTTGTAGCTTTGGTCAAGTCCTTAGGTAGGCAAACATTCAGGATACAGGGAAATTAGTAAGCCATTATATTACTGGAAATTTGACATTTTAATATCAACATTTCAGACGAGTGTAAATGGAATAAGCTGGTTCCATTCTTAACTTTTGATTTTACCAGCATCTACAATATTCTCCGGCTAGCCCAAACTGTTTGTGATTGCTGAATTATTTATTTTAATAACAAATTGTTTCAGTTATTAAGGTACTGGGTTCTCACTGTGATAACAGGTTACATTTTGCCAAGAACTGTGCTTAAACAGCAAATCATTTTAAAATTGTTACTCCTAAGATCTTGGATAGTTCAGTCAGTAAGTGTTAACATGACCGTGTTCCATACAGTCAACTTACTAAATGAGTGATGGTATCAGGCCACACAATCTTGACCTGGTTGACATGACATCAGCCTGAAAATTAAGACCCATCTTAATTTCACGTTACAGTAGGACCCCCTGGAACAATTCAAGTCATGCCCAAAAACTTAATCTCAGAGCACGTTTTCTCTCTGTCTGTACTAACTTTGGTGTGGCATCACAACTCCTCTCTATGAAGGAAAGTTGTAGATTTTAACTAACACAGATGGAGAAACTAACTGAATAATAAGTTTAAGCTGAGAAATATGATGGTATTCACCTGTTTGTTTCTTTACACACAAAACCAGATATGCATGCACACAATTTGCAAAATGCAAAATACCTCTGTAAACCAGATCATTGTAACTGATCATTACAATTTTCTGAACTTGTAAAATAAATTAGCCACTTCATAGTGCATACACATTTCTTAGGCATACATGTGCACAACCTATAGCCATAACTGTCATGATTGGGCAGATTTTAATCAATTTCTTGGGCTGGTCTCTGAAATGCCATGGCATTTCCTTGAACTCTCACATCTTTTTTAAAGTAATTTTTGTTCACATGTGGGGGAAAAAGCATAGTTATTGTAAAAGTCAAATACTATATAGTCATAATGTAATTACTTGTCGGTTGCACTGCAAACAATCAATTTGTTTTCAACTGAAATATCCCTTTTCATCTCATAAGCACTTAACCACAATGGAATGAGAGGTTACTAGGAGCATGTAGGTGCTTGATGCCGCACCACTATAAAGATCAGCTTTATTTTCTTCTGGGAAGCAGTTGTCTTCAGCCAGAGAGGCACAAGTATGTACTCAACTAATATTTAACTAAAGTTCACTGTCACATTGTAAAACTATTGTAATGTGGGGCATATTTACTGTGCATAAATATAAAGACCCGCCAACAGTTTGTGCAATGTGCTGTAAATCAGTACCATGGAGAGCTCCGCCAGTTTACCCACACTAATCTTCTTCCACCAGGGGTCGCACTTCAGCCAGATATTCCCTCCGGAACCATCGAACAAAAGTTCCTCGGGTCGAGGGAGTGAAATAAATGTAACACTCAGCAAGCAGCAACAATGTGAAAAGAAGGTATCGTTAAACATTGTCTTTGTCATTATTGCCTGTAAATATTGTATATTTTGTAATGTGAACATTTGAATGCACTACATTTCCGTTTCATGTATACAGCCATTTAAATGTCTCCCGCTTCGCACGTAGTTTGGTGCTAAGCAAACATTAATTCATGTCAACTGGATGTTCAATGTCGAGGCAAAAGGTCTGCCTTTACTGAACGTTGTTGGTATTTCTACGCTGTCCTGATGCACTGTCAGCTGTCAAAATAGGCTAATCGCAGTTTCACTTTATCTCACTGTCATTTTTATGGCTGAATATAAAAGTAAAAGAAAGCGTACAGCCTTCACTTGTCATCTGTACGAGCCACCCAAAGCCGTAAAGAATCTAGTTTCCGCCACACTTAAATAATCAATGGGGAAAGCGAGTACACCACTGAGAACAAGTACAAGACAATAGAATTAGATATTAAATTAAAATAAATAGAAATATTGCAGAAATAGGTGGAAAATAAAGAAAAACAGGATAATGCTAAATTTTATTTGGAATGCAGTCTAGAAGATGTCTTATTGTAACTTACTAACTTAGAATGTGACAAAGTTAAAATCATACAGAGTTAAGTTAAGCATATACATCCACAAGCAAACCTCATAGTGGGCAGGGTCTTTCAAATCACCTTCTGGCATGGACTTTCTGGTCAGGCAGGAAGGGTTGTTTGATTTCTTATTCATAATACAAATGCAGTTTGTGTCAGTGTAGTCGTTGACAGTGCCTTGAGAATTGTTGTCTGTACACATACAATGCTGAAACTGTGCGAACCTGGAGGATTTTTAAATGGATTTTTGTTCTAGTAGTAGTAATAGATGAGAAAATGCCCAAATGCAAATTCTGTAGGAAATCTTTGGATTAGGTATTCAAATGTCAGCCCTATTGTACATTTAGACAACATTACTTGACCTTGTACTAGGATAAGTAACTGTTTAAAGTGAAATGAAATGTAGAAATGTTGACTGATACTGTCAGATTGACTGGTTAAATCTATCATCAACTTTCCTTTAGTCAATATGTACCATCAGTGTTAATTTCTCCCTAGGTGCCCACCCACACACACAGACATACACACATAGACATTAAAACAAAATGCCCCTGCTCTGCAGTTGGTCCCCTCCTCCAGCGGCTGACTCCTGTAAAATGTCGCCACATTTATTCTTGCCAGTGTTCCAACGTTGGCTGAGTGTCCTGATGATAAATGGGCATCAGAGTGGGAGTGGTATGGATTTGCCTCTCACTGGGGCCACCTATACTAATGCTGTGCCCATACATTGTGAGTTGCTTTGGGATAAAAACTCCCACCAAGTGACAAATAGGTTGGAAAGGTTAATGCAACTAATGCAAGCCTCTGCAAAGTGCTACAACATGCCTTTAGTGGGTTATATGAACAGAATTGCTTTTAGATATGCAGTACAGTATAAAATGTTAATATTTCTGTACATGATGCTGCAGAATCTTCTAGATTAAGACTCACTTTCTACTCCTTTTCTCTCAGGTTTTTCTGTTCATAGTGTGAGGGGGGAAACCAAGATGGCCACCCGCCGTGTTCCTCTAGTCTTATTAGCCTGTGGCTCCTTTAATCCCATCACCAACCAGCACATGAGGCTGTTTGAGCTGGCCAGAGACCACATGAATGGCACAGGTCATTACAAACAGTGTGAAATTGGGGTTAGGGCTACATATAAAGAAATGGGTGATACAATAAAGAATATGCATTTCATCATTGCAGTTGTATGTGTTATTGGAATTTGGAAACCAAAAAAGAATGGATTTTGCACTCATGAATGTCATCTTGCCAGAGACATGACTCCAAATGAATCCTAAGGTTTCTCTGTGTCCACTGGTTGTGGAAGTAGGCTATTTGCTAACATGCTTGCAATAAGACAATGACTGGGCTTTATTTTTTAACTTGTGATATTGCTCTCCAATGAACAAAATATCAATACATTTTTGTCTATTTTCTGGTTTATAGTTGAAGTATCACAAAGTTTTTTTGTTTACAAAAAACTAACAGTGATAATATGTCATTTTTTCTGATCCTGCAGAGATCTAAAATGCACTTTGTTTTCATCTTAAATGAAAAAAGCTCTGTGACTATGATTTGTGTCCTCACATGTAACATACACTGTAGTTTTTATTCTTTTGTAGCTGAATGTACCACAGTTGCAAACACATCTGTTACCTTTTTTAAACACTAGAATTAGCACAGTTTGGCTCTGTATGCCTTCTCCTCCTCAAATTTCTAACCTTTAAATTAACTTATTATGTAAAGCCATTTCTGAAGCTTTAAAATTGATTGCATAGCATAATCTGTAATGATATAATGTCAAATTTCATGAAGATGCACTTTCATCACCCTGTTAAAAAAAAATCCATTGTAGAATTTGTATCCAAATGTAAAATCTGATGAAGCACTAATAAAAACAGCATCAGTATGTCTCGGAGATTGCCTTATCTTTTGGTTTATAGTCCATTTCTGTTTCAGGTGTCCTAACCCAGAAAAACAGTGTTAATCTTCTCTCCCTTTAGGTCAGTACCAGGTAGTGGGTGGCATAGTGTCTCCAGTGAGTGACAGCTATGGAAAGCAAGGGCTGGTTCTGGCAAAGCACCGCATTGCTATGGCGAAGTTGGCACTGCAGAGCTCCAGCTGGATCACAGTGGATGAATGGGAGAGTCAGCAGCCAGACTGGACGGAGACAGTGGTCACCCTGAGGTATAAAGCAAGTTTATTGCAACATCAGAGTTAAAATGTCCTTATTTACCATGGCATGAGGTGGAGAACATGCTGAAGGGGTCTACTGTTGTCAGATAAGTGCAGTTAGTAATTTCTTGTCCATTCACTGTATGCTGCAGTGTTTCACTTGTTAATTACATTAAAAAAAATACAGAATGGTATTGCCTCGGGTATCAAAGTTTGCTACACATAAGGATTTCACTTAGAGTAGCTGAACATTTAAGGGTCCTACTGTGGGGATCCACGGCATCTGATCAAGAGGTATTGGCGCAAGTAGTGTTTGGGTGTGTCCATGTTCATTTCACTAATTTGACAGGCGAGGAAAAAAGGTTCAAGTACCCGTGCAAGTAGCAAAAGCGCTGTACTTGCTCTCTTTATTAAAGCAGGGGTGCCTTTGGAGCGTAACATGCAATTATCCAACCACTGTAATACCTGTAAATATACATTGCACATACAGATCCATCAAATGCATCTGGACTGTGTGCGTGTGTATAAATATATATATATATTATATATAATAATGAGAACGTATGCTACATCGGAAGCTGTATGTGCAACAGTCAGCAATGAATGTCCAATTATGCATGTGCAAACTGAGAGTTTAACAGTCTGGTGGAATTACATGAATTCCTGATTATAAACTCCTGTCAGCTGTTTAGGAGTCTGATGGCAGTTGGAAAGAAGGAGTTCTTCAATATGACACAAGTATATTATTGTCTTTAAAAGACAAAACAGTCAGACGTTTCTATATGCACATTGAACCTTTATTGTTAAACATACATAACAGTGCTTTACGGTTTCATGACACCTTGCCCTTGATTGTTCCATGTAAATGCTCTGTTGAGGGTTGGCAAGCAGATGTCGCCATATATGATTGTATCAAATGCTTCGAAACACTGAACCATTTCAACACGAATGCTTCATATTGATTCAGTGGTTCATAAAGCTTCGGTTTCTCCATCACTACTATCTAGACGCTTAGAGCTGACTGTTCCCACCAAAAGGAGTCTGTTCTGTGCAGCAGTCTTCTCGGTGTTATACTGGGCACACTGCATGCAGGTAGTGACTTATGGCAACTATGACAACATTACCTACAAGACTATATGTCTTAAAGGGGAAGGCCTTGCCTGTAACAGTGGCCTCCATTTATGAACAATATCTGCTGTGGGTACCTTCTCTGCCATAGCTCGCTAGCTTTAGCTGTAAAACAAAGCAGTAACATGTCTGTCTTTCTTCCTCTTCTGTTGTTTAATGTCGGTTGTCAACTTTACTTGACAACTTTAAGCACATTACCACCACACGTCTGCCAGTCTGGCCTTGTGGGAGGTTCTTTGCACACGCAAGTAGGAAGTAGGTTGACAGACAGCTAGGCCATCCAATTTTATTGCTCAAGATGAGTAAAATTATTGGTCAGGTCTTTTTCAGCCCTGCTGCTGCCACAGATGATGGATTTGTTTCTTTATGTTGTCAATGCATTTAATGTATTCATTGCCATCAGGATGAAAATTGAATTTTAAGATATGTAGCAGTGAATGCTTCTGAAAAGAATCACCAGCCCTACCTTTAAGTTTCTGTATTGAAAACATCGATTTTTTTCATAACACCATTAAAGATTTTTAAAGCACAGGAAGATGAAGATCTTCCATGATAGGGTAAAGCACATCTCAGCTCTAGTTTATAAATACAGACAGAGTGTTACTCAGTAGCTGCTTTATGTAGCCATTAGCTTTTACTGTCTCCTGTTGCATCCTCCTTCATCCTTGGTTAGGTATAACTTCATCATTTATCCTTTCTGACATGTCCTAGTTTTACCACAGCTCCTGCAGAGTTCACTGGGATGTGTGCTCTACCTTGCTGCTCCTCTGCCAGCACTTCTTAATGCCAACTCCAACTTTTTATGTAGCAGAGTCTTGCCAGGTTTCCTAAATTATGGGTTATAGTCTCTTGGGGGCTGCCAGACTAGACTGGACCTGTGTCAGATCAGTTTTTTTTCTAGGGTGAAATTAGGGGCATAAGCTATTAAATTCATGTGCCAAGTGGGAATGGTGTAGTTGCAAAAGACTGTCTGGCACATGAATATTGGTGACGCGAGGCCAGCAGAGGTGCTGCATTCTGAATGAGAAGGTGTAAATAAGCCTGAATGTTGGCCCACTGTATATTGGAGAGGTTTACTCTGCTGAAATATGATATTTGTGTAGCTGGGCCTTATCAAGGGTGTCGCCCAAGGGGTAAAATTTACCTCACTGCATATTAAAGTACTGTATGTGTGAAGAAGAGATCCAGCAGGTCTTTCTCTCCTGCTGCTCTCAATAGACCACTCACAACTAAACTGCATTTATTGAGAGTTTGTGCAGTAACGTAAATTTAACTCTTGAGTTTGTTTATTTGGGTTGGCACAGTGGTTAGCGCTGTTGCCTCACAGCAAGAAAGTTCCAGGCTGAGCCCTGGCCCACCCGGGGCCTTTCTTTGCTGAGTCTGCATGTTCTCCCTGTGGCTGCGTGGGTTCTTTCCTGATACTCTGGCTTCCTCTCACAGTCCAAAGACATGCAGCTTAGGTTGATTGGTGTCTCTAAATTGCCTGTAGGAGTGAGTTTGAATGTGTGTTGTTGTTTGTCTACCTGCCCTGTGACAGACTGGCAACCTGTCCAGGGTATACCCTGCCTCTCACCCAATGTCAGCTGGGAGAGGCACAGGCCCAAAGTTAGTTGTCTCTAAGCTGTGTTTGAGCAATGCACGAGCAGATTGAGGCATAAAATGACCTGTTGTCCTAAGACCGTGGGAGTCTATGAATAGGTCACATCACACATCATCTCACTCCTGACACACACACACACCAGTAGTAGAACATCCATCCATTATCTATACTGCTTATTCCTGAATAGGGTCACGGGGGTTTGGAGTCTATTCCAGATGACATAGGGCGAGAGGCAGTACTACAACATCTATAAGAAAATTTACTTGAAAACAGTCACATTTTTTATTCATCTTGCTTCTGTGAGTTCCTCCGTTTCTTATTCAGTTCTGTTTGATAAAGCACTGTTGGCATGTTTTTTAGTTTGAAAACATGTTACCTGAGTACATTCATAAACAGAGTGAGTAAAACAGTAAATGAACACACTAAAACGTATTGGTACACTGTACATCAAACGAGCTAACTGTGTTTATGGAGCTACGGTAATAAATGTAGATCTTTCTGCCATACCTTTGTTTGTTGGGCAGGCATTATTATGGCCGTATTCTAAAGGAGCATGAGCGAAGCACAGGAATGCACAACAACTCCAGTGGAAGGGCAGCTCTCCTCGCAAGTAAGACACTCTTATTATTAGGAACCTGGCATCAATTCAGAACCCTTTGACCACTGACTGTTTTCATGCATTTTATGTTTGGTGTTTTTATATTTTGGAAACAGGGAACATGTGGATGTGTGTGTGTATCAGTAGAGACTGATACACACAAAGCTAAAGTACAAATACATAGATAGTATAAGTATTATTTGCCATTTACCCTTCACCTAAGACTAGGGTGTAACCTTGTCACAGAAGTATATTGCATAAAAAGAACAAAAGCACATAACCCAGTAAATTCCATTTCACTGGGTATTTTGATCAGAGGATGTATTAGAGCATGTTAAGGATACTAGGCCTTCTAGTGATGTCCAGGACTTCCTGAAGTAGCCATGATGGAACAATGTCAAGTGTGAAATGATATGTGTCAGAGACAACTGGGATGATTTGTATTAGGATAATGAAATCATGAAATCCAGGGCCATATCTTGTCAGGTTTGTTAAAGAAAATGTTCACAGGTGGTTTGTATTGCTTCTGAACAATTTGTGAGTTGGGGTTGAGTACTGTACTTATTGTATTAAATAAAACTTTGGACCTATGGGCACATTTAAAAATGATGCAAGAAAAAACATAAATTATACCTGCTAGACTACGTTTGTTCCATGTTGGCATGCTGACGTTAGCATTCCTGTGCCTAAGTACTGTGTCAGAGACCCTCTAGTGTGGCTGTGGCCTCTTTCTGAGAATATAGGTTACATAATAATGGTATTCTTCTAAAACATATTTAACACATCTTTAACATCTCAACCAGAGTTGGGCTTAAGGATTTGCATCATTCCCACATAATGTGCTTGTACTTAACATGTGCAAAGTAGAAGGCTAATGGTGCGCTGTGGTTCTGACAGCTTTCACAGTCGCATAAAGAGTATTAGCACAGTTTTAATACTTTTAAGACTGTGTGTGTGTGTGTGCGCCTTTGTATTACTTACATTATGGGGACCAAAATCTGTTAACACCCTCACATTGTGGGGACCCGGCCATATCCAAGTCACTGGATTTTAGGGTGGCAACATAGTTTAAAGATAGGATGAGGTTAGGTTAAGTATTAGGGTCGGGGTTAGGTGTTAGGCAAGTAGTGGTTATGGTTAAATTTAGGATAAGTCTATAGGAAATTAATGTAAGTCAATGGAAAGTCCACAAGGGATGAAAAAACACTGTGTGTGCGTGTGTGTGTGGTTGGAAATGCTGATAGGACAAAAGAACTATAGCACATGTGAGTCATGTGTGTGTGGTTGGAAATGCTGATGGGACAAAAGAACTATAGCACATGTGAGTGTGATGATGTAAGTTATTAAATTTATTTAGAGGGATATCTGTTTGAACCCTGCTGCTTTTTTATACAACACTGCATAAGGATGACAAATTTCATGAACAGTTGAATTATGGATAGGACTATCCCTGAGATCTCAAGGGGGATTTGCTGGGTTTTGAATAATAATGGTAAGGTCTAGGCCTTATTTTGTAAACCGTCCTGAGATGATGTTTGTTGTGATTTGACGCTATACAAATAAAATTGAATTGAGTCTCATCAGAGAGGAAGAGGATAATATGTATTTTGTAAAGACTGACACTTGCTAAATAAAAAAACATTTTGCTACTTTAGTTTCCTTTTTAGTTCATGTAATGCAGTCTTCTGAGCACTAGGTCATACAGTTGAGCTTGACTTATTATGTAAACATTGAACTCCTAGTCTGTGGTGTTATGATGTAATTTGTAGAATCAGTAAGTCAGTTTAAGTCATGTTTTGCTTTTGTCGTTTGCCTGGTCCAGAGTCAAAGAATTCACTTTGTATTTTGCTGATATTCACATCATCATTGCTTAAGGTTTTAAAATTCACTCCTCATATCAGCACTCTTTGAGGAGGCAGTTTGGTCATGTATTATTGTTTGTTTGACACCTTACTGCAGATCTGCACCAATTTATATGTAGCCTGTGTTTTTCTCACCACAGTATCTTGTTTGGTCTTTGCCTTCAGGCCCTTCTCCACAGCTGAAGCTCCTGTGTGGAGCTGATTTCCTCAGCACCTTCAAGGTCCCAGACTTGTGGCGGGACGACCACGTGGAGGAATTGGTCAGGCGATTCGGCCTTGTCTGCATCAGTCGAGGCAGGCTGCAACCGGAGCAGGCCGTGCACGAGTCGGACACACTCTCCCACCATAGACACAACATTTTCCTGGTGAGGGAATGGGTGAGGAATGAGATAAGTGCCACAGAGGTACGGCGGGCTCTGAGACGGGGCCTGAGTGTGAAATACCTGATCCCGGACTCTGTGATAGAGTATATTCACCAGCACAACCTCTACACAGAGGACAGCGAGAGGAGAAATGAGGGCAATGTGTTGAGGCCACTCACCAAACAGGCACAAGAGCCAGTGTAGAGCCTGGATGACTGATGCAGACACACTGCTGCAGTACTGAGCTGTGTGCTTTCACTGGACTGCTGTGTGAAAGAGGTTTGCACAACCTGCAAGTGCCTGCAAAGAATCATGTCTGGAACTAAGTACAGTGGAACCTTGGAGTATAATTCGGTCCGGCAATGTGCTCGTAATCCAAAGCACGTGTATATCAAAGCGAATTTCCCCATAAGAAATAATGGAAACTCAGATGATCCGTTCCACACCCACTTATCCATGTAAAAATGATTACAGTAATACAAAATACAGTATAAAGTAAAAATAAAACAAATTAACCTGCACTTTACCTTTGAAAAGAATCGTGGCTGACATGAGGGGCCATTGTTGCAGTACAGATATTGACTATACGAGTGAAGCGTGAGAACCACCGGCTCAGTTGTGACGTACGTCACGTGACGCTCAACAGACAAAGCGTATGTACTACTCGTATTGCGAGACCTCGCACGTATATCGAATCAAAATTTTTTGCTTGTCTTGCAAAACACGGGCAAACCGGGTTCCTCGCAATCCAAGGTTCCACTGTACTTGTTTACAGTGGGAAACATTACAGTGCTGTGCTGTCTTTTGAATCATACACGTGAAGTGTCACTAATTTTGAACCTTATATTTGCACAAATGTCAGATACATTTGTCTGCAAAAATATTTCTATTCTTTGTAGGTTTTTACATCACGCGTTATTGCAGTTTGAACAATTTAAATAAAATCTTATATGTCTGGAGTGTTTTCATCTGATTAGTTTTTTTTCTTCTAGTAGTTTAAATGTATAAAATCATAAGTCAGACAGGGCCAGGATTTTAGAAGCATCAAGGTCACAAAAAGTTCCCACAACAGCCCAAAGCCCACCTGCAGAGACACCATAAAGTCTGTAAAAATGACTGAACTACCAAGGTTTTGGTTTACTGACATTTTAATATTTACGGTTTCAGGGCTAGAACAATAAAGTTTTGGGCTCATTTCCATTGTTTTTCTTGATCGTTGCACTGTTTGATAACCTTTTTTTAAGACAGAGATGAATATTCACTGTCTGACATTAAGATATGTTAGAAACTAAGCTAGAAAATTAAATCACATGATATGAACAAAAATTAATCAAATGTAATAAGAAAGCAGCCAAGATTAAAAGCACAATCAAGACAGGCAACAAGTGTACAGCTGTTCAAGATGCAAACATAAATCACCGTATTTTCAGAGGTGACCTTTTATTTTCCAGTGTGTTGATTTTAATGTTTTTTTATGTCATTTGTGATTCTGGTGAAGAAATACTACCTTAGGTTTAAAAATTCAAGATCATAAATTGTGGATTTTTTAAAATTGTAATAATATAAACTCTCAATTCGAATATGTAAACTTTATTCTGCTTTAATTTGTTCTCCTACGAATATCACTGTGGGTGTCTGTACTCTGCAGCAGCCTCCCAGCAGCAATTATTCTGAATCCATTCAGTGTCCCCATCATCATCCACACACTGTGCCAGCAAGGCCTGTATGTCTTTGTGTTCCAGCCAGTAAAGGATTTAGCCTCTTGGTTTGCTGCAGCTGACCCAAAAGACATATTATCAAATTAACTCAGTCATTTAGGTGAGACAAAGCATGTGACAAGCCTATTGGGCTACATTTGGAACATTTTAAGCTCAGGTGATTCTGCTTTTGTTCTGTGTGTATTACCCAAATGTGTGCTTCATTCAGCCAGATTCACAGGCTGATCAGTGCTATATCTAATCACTGTTATTTTACTCCATTCAGTTGACTGTTGACAGCATGGTTATAACCCTGATTCAAATACAATTAAGCTTTATACAGCACCAACAGTGTTCACGCCAAATCTGCCATATAAATGTACCTGTAATCACCTTTATTTGGCCAAGTATGTTACACACAACCATCAGGGGCAACTTGGGGGTTCAGTGTTTTGCCCAAGGACACTTCGACATGTGGACTGCTCTACCCACTGAACCACAGTCGCCCCCTGTGTCAATAAAGGAAGTGTTAAGGAGGAAGCATTCTCTATGATAATACATACAACTATATTATACGTTATGGAGCCTATGTACTGTATGCTGCAGGTACAGTATGTAGAAAAAGTGCAGTGAGGATTGAGGGGTTACATGGTGACAGCCTGTGGGAGGGAAGTGGGTGGAAATCCAACAAGTAATCAGATTAATTCAACAGGTGAGTGAGTTTAATTCAAAGTAGGGCTTTTAGCAGCAGGTTGTGGGCTTAATTGCATAGATCCATCTACAGGGGGCCTCCTCATTCAGTGGATAGAAGGAAACCAGCATCAGACAGTCAATCTGAATGGATATTGGAAAATGGTTTCGAATGATAACTTTGAGGAGTACATGAAGGTTGTTAATGAGAACTTTATGGAAGCAGGTGAAAGACTGTGAATGCTGTTCTGGGGCAGAGGGTAAGTGTGTGTGGTCCTTGTGTCTCAGACACTCAGTGTCACACAAACTTCATCACAATGACAAAAATGTTTCTGCACTTATACTTGTTCTTAGCTTTCAAAGTCCTCACATTTGGATCAGACATTTTTCCTTCTTTTGTTGAAAACAATTTATTAGAACAGAGAGCAAATCAAAATTAAAATCAAGGATTTCTAGCATTTCTGCAGAGCACAGATACACTGTGCATTGCATAGCCTGCCCACATTGATGTGGATCTGCATGTATCTGTTAACATGTTATATACACTCCTGTTTGAGCCTGTAGTTGTGTGTAGTAGTGTGTCAGTATGTGTGCTGACAGTGTGTTACTGTGTGTCCACAATGGAAGGCGCTATCCAAAGAGGAACAGGCCAAGTATTATGAGGAAGCTGAGATGGAGAATCTGCTCCACATAATGAACCACTACGACTGGTCCTCCAGAGACAATTATGTATGTACACGCTGCTCACACACCGTTCATATGCTTATTCCCTTCATTGGATGATAAAACACACTCAGTGAAAAAATCTTGATTACATCAGCTGAGAGGTGGAAAGTCTAACGTGTTTGTTTTGTGTTGCTGGTTTATATAGGGCAAAAAAGAGAAAGAGAGTGAGGACGAGGGCCCCCACCAAGCCTGATGGTAAGAGAACAGTTCTGTGGGTCCCAGCTTGTTTTCATGTGAAGTGTCATGACAATGTACATGTGGCCATGGAGCATGTCTGACTTTTAACATGAATGTAATAGCCATATTTTTAGAGTATGAAACATTGTGACTTACCTACCTACTAAGCCGGGTGCTTCATTTGACCAATGTGTTATCAGTTGAAAGTTAAATCACTCTATTTAGTGTAACTGGTTTTGATAAATTGATTTTAGTGAGGAAAGTTTGATACACATTTATAAAGTAGTCAATGGTGTCTGAAACTTAAGTCTTAAATGAACTGTCACGTTTCACTTGCTTTTCATGTACATTTTCTGATGGTCTTCTGGTTTAATTAGAATCTGTTTTGCCTTTATAAGTGCACAAGGTTTCCAGCTCATTTTCACTTATTTATATTAAGAGATTTTTTTCTGTCTTCCTCAGGAGCTGGGGTCCCCAGCAGAGGTGAAGAGCAGCCCACTAGTATTAACCTCACTACATTAACTAACAACACATTTGGCTTGTTTCATGAGCACTCAGAGCAGAGTGTATTTGAACAAACAAAAGTTTTGTTTAAATTTGATATAAGATGAACCAAAAGCCAGACTGTTTTTTTCTTCTTTTTTTTTTTAACAAAGAAAATAGATTCTGAAGTTGGTCACAATAAGCTGCTGCTCTCACTTACTGAGATCAAGATCAAAAGATCAAGGATTTTTATTGTCAGTTCACTATATGTGCAGGACATACAGAAAAATCAAAATACTGTTTCTTTCTCACCTAATGTTGAATGCCCATACCATTTAAGAAACTAAAATAGAATGAAAATAGAATAAACACAGAATAAACAGAATAAGAAAACTGAGTTCAAGTAATAAGGATAAACTAAATGGTACAACCTAATAGGCTATGATGAAACTCAAAGCCATGTGCAAACAGTGACAGTAGTGCAAATAATAACAAGAAGATTGTCAGATGGTCAGCATCACCAGGGGAGTTGGTGATGAGGTGCATGATAGCTTATGAAATGTACATGGGCAGCAGTGCAAATGACCAACAGCAGCAGATATGACGTAAAAAAAAAAAAACAGTCAGGAGAAGATTTAGTTGCACATGGACAGTAGTGCAAATGACCAACAGCAGTAGATAAGACGGTAAAAACAGTCAGCAGCCGATTTACATGTAATATAACAAGAAGGGGGAATGTACTGGGTTTGGGCAAAGCAGCAGATGTAGTCTTTTTATGTTCTGTGGTGGGTCACAGTCCAGGGGGCAGAGGGGGGGAGGTAGTGAGCAGTGTTCAGCATCCTCACAGCCTGGAGGTTGAAGCAGTTTGTAAGTCTGGTGGAGTGGGCCTGAAGACTCCAATACCTGCTCCCTGAAGGCAGGAGTCTGAAGTGGAAGTGTGCGGGGTGGGAGGTGTCATCAGCAATGCTGATGGCTCGGCGGGTGAGGCGGTGTGGGTGTTCAAAGTGTCCGTAAGGGAAGGCAGAGGGGCACTGATGATCTTGCTGGCTGTTTTCACTATGTGTTACAGGGTCCTTCCGCAGGAGGCAGTACAACCTCTGTACCACACAGTGATGCAGCCAGTGATGATGGTCTCAATGGTGCCCCGGTAGAAGAAGCACATGATGGGGGGTGGGGCACTGGCTCTCCTCAGTTTGCTGAGGAAGTAGAGGCATGTTTGAGCTTTCTTGGCCAGTGATGTGGTGTTGTTGTTCCAGGAGAGGTCCTCAGAGATGTGCACCCCCAGGAACTTGGTACTGCTCACTCTCTCCACAACAGCACTGTCGATGGTCAGTGGTGGATGCTTTAGAGGATTTCTCCTGAAGTCCACAACAGTCTCTTTAGTCATCCCCACATTGAGGGAGAGGTCTTGTCCTTACACCACTGGGCCAGTTGGCACACCTCACTCCTGTAGTTGGCCTCATCATTGCTGTTAATGAGGCCAATTACAGTCATGTATTGAGGACAGATCACTTTAAGAAAATGGGTAGCCCCACTGTAACTTGCACAGCAGGGTGGTATTCATAGCAGTTCATTTATACAGACCACCCTTGATCAAAATGGTTGACTTTCCTCCAACACAGGTCATTTTGTTGAACTCCAGCAATCTTGGAGCAGACCGT